TCGCGTACTTAAAAAGACCCTCTATTATGACACTTTAGAGCAATGTTGTTTGTTTGAAAGTTCCTGAGTACTTTTTCAAACTTAAGACGTAGTAAATTTCACTAGTTGAAGAAACGTTCCTGTTTGTAAAGAATGAGCGATGCATAAATAAATGCGACCGCCGGAGGAAATGACGAATTTATTTATACTGTATGTGGAATGCAATGTAAATTCCATTGCTGATTGAAAATATTTAAGCTGTGGTGGTGAATAAATATTGTCTTAATTTACTTTTTTGTGTGTGGGGAAACCCGGTAGAAGGCTTGTCACGTTCCAAGGCCCAAAACCTCTGCTTTAGCAGAAGATTCTAATGAAGACTGAGGATTCGTGACCTGAATTCTGCGCTGTTTCTGCAGGCAACTGATTTATTCTCTTCTTGCTATTTTTGTTTTTAAGAGCAGTACTACTGCACATATTAAATCCAATCTCTTCATTGAATAATCTTTTGCTGGAGTACTGTATTTTATTCACAATTCGGCCGCAATTCTTTTGGGAATAAGTCGGGTATTTGATTCTTGGCCACACCGCATTCATAAAAAAATGCATACAGTATTCGTTCGCAGAAAATGTATTTTCCGGAAGATAAATGCTCTTGCGGGGAAACTTCATAAATCATAATGATTTTGTATTTTGTGTTGTAAAATGTCCGGAATATTTGCTGGCTCAGTCTTTATAGGACGCATTTCCGCCAACATTTTCCGATTTTACCGCGGCCTATACATTTGAATTGGTTGCGGCCAGAATAAGCGTCTAAATTTAAAATAAGTTGAATGTAAAGTACTGTACTGTACGCTTTCTTTTTTAAATTATGAACTACTGTACCATGATTTTAATCCAGGTTGAAGTGCAGTACAGTATTTGGTAGATTTTGGCTCCCAGTGCCCAAATTTTGTTTTGTCTCCCGTGTCACGAAGGTTTGATTGTAGAGTATTGTACACGAAAGAATAGAAAAATTATAACACAGGAATCGGTTGGGCTACAACCAGGGTGCTCAAGAACACCCTATTTTAAAGAAGTTGTATTCACAATTCACAAGTTTTTTCTAACAGTCTTGATAAGTTTGCCAGTACTTTGTATGTTCTGCACAGTACAATGGTTCGATGGATAGTGATTCGAAATCCTGAGACATTTCCTCAGGAAAAAAGGGTTTCTTGTGGAAGTTTTCCACAGAGATTTTTGGGTTAGATTACAGCTTCCGCCGTTAGGGTGTAGTTACTGATATTTGATGGTTGTTTGGATTTCAAGGACTAAAGGTCCGTTTTTTTTGGTTCTTATGAGAATGGGTGAGTAACCCGATTCTCACGGAAGGACCCAAGGACGAGTTTTGGCAAATTGCCAAAACTCGTCTCTGTTTATTACTTTCAATTCTAAAGGCGCCATTTGGCGTGTTTCTCTTTGAAGATTAAGTTCAAAATGTTGTGAAGAGTGACATGAAAAATTACTTTCCGTCAGCTCAAGGCTGGCGATTAAATTCGATATGCTTGGTTCTGCAGAAGTGCCTCAGAAAATTCGCAACATCCCGATTGGACAATTGAAAAACGCCTTCAAGTCTTTTTTTTTCAGACGACATCGTTGAAGTTGGAGAAAAAATGAATTGAAATCTCATATTAATATTCGTGATAAAATAGGAAGAAAAAGTTGTTTTCTGTGGTAACCAAGATCGTGTTGCCTTTTTGCGTTTCCAGCTTTTTTTTTCCCCCAAGGGTTATTTTTCTGGGATAAGAGGGATGATTCCCGTGTTGGAATCCCGCCAGAAAGTTGCTACACAAATGGGCATTACTAAAGTCTCGTCGTTTTCGTGTCAACAACTTCAGAATAAAAGTGCATATGCGAAAATAATGCTCTAGGAACTTGAAGAGGGATTATTTATTTTCTTTCAGCTTGATTTCATTCAATCGCTAAGTTGTGGTTTTTTTTCAAATTCTCTGTCCACGTCATTCTTATTAATTTATTTCTAAATTTTCTGCACCGAAAATGCGTTGGGAATCGAAACCTGTTCAATTGCTTTTTTTTTATGGAACAGAAGATGTCTCGAATGTGTTGAAATATATGGATCAAACCATGTTCCGTTTCATGAAAGGCAATATCCTTGTTCAATTATTTCTGAAGTTGTGGACAAAGACGATAAGACTTTGGATATTACCCCTTGGTGTGTACACTTCAGATACGGTTGAGCAAGCAGCAGCTTCTGGCGCCATTTCATCAAGCCTTTCTTCTTGCGAAATGTTTTCTGGACTGTCGCCAAAATTATCAAGAGTCTCTCTCTTTATTTTTATTTTTAGCTATCTATTTGTTTTTTTACAAATCTTATTCGCGGGTTCTTGATATTTTCATTGGGTCCTTGTTGAGCATTAATTCAGGACCCGTTCTTGTGCTTAGATGATAATATTCTGGGTTTTTTTTTGTCGTTTCCGCGTTTTTCTCGGGAATATTTCCCTCTGTGACGAAACCTGGTGGGATTTTAGCTGCCGTATTTTTTCCAGAACTTGGACAGCTGAGATAATTTTGTTGAAGTTTCGTTTTATGTTGTGAACTGTTGAAATCCAAGCTCTTGAATTCGTTGTCAGTTTTAAATGACGGTGAAATCGCCTATTCTATTAAACTTTTTTTTATTTTACCGTATCCAACATTTATTTGTCTTGAAGCTCTCGAGGCACGGGTTCATTTTGAATGGGAATTTATTCAATTTAATTAGGTTTTAGAACTTGAATTTGAGGTAAATGAGGACAAGAAAGGATCATGAATCAAGTTTTCCTGTTTAGAAAAATCTTTAAAAATTGAAGTCGTGATCACTGGAAATATTTTTTGAATCAAACATTAACTTTCTCTCTGAGATTGAAACGTTTTGAGTTCAATTCTTTGAAGTGTATCATTGATTTTCCATTTCAATAATTATTTTTACCGTGTTGGCATCGAAAAGAAACGTGTTGAATCGATGAAATGAGATTTTGAAGGATTGTTGATGCAGTGAACTAAAATGTACCCTCGATAATTTTTGGCGACGAATATTCAAAAATAAAACTATTTTCCGCCGTGTCAAAGTGTTCTTCGTAATTCTTGAATTTTGAACTGAAAATTGGCATTCAAAATTTTGAACAATGCGTAAGCATTTATTAGCATTTTGGTGTACAGTACAGTATTTTGATTGTTGGAAAAAAAAATCCTCAAGTTTGAGGCTTGATCTCTGCCGAAATGAAAACGATATTATTTGAGAAAAAAAATTAGTCCGCTTTCCATCAGATTTAATTGAAACCAGGGGCATGGAAAAACCAGTGTAATATTTTTAAAACCGCTCCTTATCAGTGGGAAATTGGGTCCGGACGAGTTATTTTCTTTTGAAGAACGGAAAAAAAATTTCAGACATTTTGTCATTGTTCGATGTCAACACCAACACACCTCAAGTTTTCGTCAGTTTCGGAATTGATGATCGTTTAGGACGAAGACCGATGTTATGTTACATGGACAGAAGGAAACTCACACGACGTCGGAAACATTTCAGACTTAGGATGCAAGCTTATTGGATAAATGATTGATGTATGGGAATGCAAGCGAATAATGTGACAAATGGACCTTGGGACTTCCATCAACTAAAATTGATGTTCGTCCAACTCTCGAGGCCTTTCTGCAAGCGCGAGAAATGAAGAGAAGACCTAGAGAAGAAGTTCCTAGACGGAAATGAAATTATTTCCCTCCTAGCACGTGACTGATGCTGTTTTTTCTCTCCCCTGGGGAAAGAAGAAAAAAGTTTTTTGTTTTCTCTGGAGACATTTTTCTCTCTCTTTTTTTTTCAATTTCAAACAACGATTGCTTTCGGTCGATTATCACGCGGCTGATTCATTTCATGTCCCGTCGAGAAGAAAAATGACGAAAAACGTTTCCCTTCTAGAGAGTATGAAAACATTTCCACCGCTGTTTTTTGTGTGTGTGTGTGTGTGTTGTTTTCCTCATGTGAAAATTTCGGAAAACTCGTTTCAGAATTCATTTTCACAGCATCCCTACGATGTGCGAGTTTTTCCCCCTAAAATACGACTCAGTAAAAGTAATGATATTAATAATTCTCGATGTACTTTTCAGGTTTCAAGTGTGAAAATGTGGAATAAAATTTTTAATTTCCAAAAGAAGTCATGGTCAGGGTCACTGAACTTAATTTAAAATAATTCCGATCGTAGGCTAAAATTGTATGAGAAGGAAATAATGCGAGATATTTTATAAAATCAGTCTCAAAAATAGAAATGGAATAAAAATGGTAAAAAAAAAAATTTTTGTACAGATTCTGAAACGACAAAAACTGACTACAGTACTTGAATTTTGGACCAAACGAAAACGGGTTTCTATTATCTTCGAACTGTCATTTTTTTGTTTATCGGCTCTTTTGGATTTTTAAATTGCTGAAGTGTGGAGAACATTTTATTTCCGAAAACCGTACAAATTTTTATTCTGAATTTGGATTTTACTTCATGTACTCCGAAATGAAAGTTTATATTCAAATAAACTGCTTACATTTTAATTATTAATACCGCACTATGTTGATGACTGTATAACCATTTTAAATGCAGTTAAACAAAAAAAATTGATCTGCTGATTTTACCTTTTGCTTATATTTTCCGCAAAGAACGTCACTGGCGAAAAAAAACACAAAATTTTGTGCATCAGTTGAGTTTCATCTTGGAAAATTTTCTCTACAGTATTTCTGAAATCGTCATCATGGGACTGGGAGGCAGATACTGATGTGCTTAGTTTTGCCAAAAAAAATCCTTAATGCAAGGATCTGTCTTATTTTCTCGGAAATGGAGTCTTCCGATGTGAAACGTGTTTCGAAATAAATTCTCTCCATTCCCTTGCCTGGGTTGGTTACATTTCGAGGAATGACGGGTTCTATACCACCCCCGAAAGTCTCTGGAGGATTTCCTCCTTGATTTTGCCGTGCTGGACACGGAGTCTCTTGGCGGGCTTCGGAATCAATGTTCGCCTCGGGGGAAAAAGGAGAGGAGGAGAAGAAGAAGAAGAAACTGGGTTCGGAACCAGAGGTGGAAGGAATTCGTGGAATGGGGTTTTCTGTGAGGGGGGTTATAACACACTGGGGTTTGGATCACGTTTGGTCGATTTCTTGGACTGCTTTGAAAGCAAAAGTTTTCTCAAGCGTGTCGGTGAAAGTCAAGGATCATTTCGAGCGAAAATACTACTGTACAGTACTGTATATGTCTCTTCATTCGTCGTGTTGCAGTTGAACCTGTGCAAGTCGAATACTGTACCTCCCAAACTCGAAATTTTTTTTTTTTTCAATTCCCTGTCTGAAATCTCTTGGAAACAATGCATTAAAAACCTCTCCGACTTGAAGTCTTTTTTCTTTCAATCCTCTGTAAGTCAAATTTTCTGAGGCCTTTTGGTCACTATTTCCTTGAAATATGAAAGAGAAAAATCAATGGAACAAATTATTTTATTCATCTTGAGAGGGAGTGAAATGCTAATTAAGCAAATGAATCCCTGCATCCAAGTTCAGCAAGGTTTAAACTCATGAAGAAGCAAGTTTATGCCCAGAATATCCTCATTTGAAATTTTCTGCAATTTTTTTTACTTATCTTTGCAGCAAAAATTATGGTTTTTCTAACTCAAAACCTCCAAAAATCAAAACCTCCCTATTTCTTTCCTGGTCCCTAAAAATTTGACTTAGAGAGGTTCAACTGTATATTCAGTCTCATTCTAAATAATTTTGTTATACTGTACTGTAATTAAGCAGTGGGGTCCCGACATGCAGACGATTTGGTTTGGGGACGTTTGATAACTAAGAAAAATATGCCCCAACATCCGGACGATGTCTCGAGACACGGACATGTGACCTACATTCCTAGAAAGAATGGAAAATTTTTTTTATTACTTTTTTCAGATAAACTTTAGTATATCCCCATTGAAGTTCAAGGGAAAACCAAGTCCGACATGCGGACGTTCCAATATACAGTAGATACAATGTCCAAGCACCAACTACGTCCGCATCTCGGGGCCTAACTGTATTTACTTGACTGTAATTCCTGGTTGGAACTGCAAGCAAAAAAAAAAATGTTACGTTTCTCTAGACATTTATTCATGAGTATTTAAGTAATTTTTAGAACTTTTAATTATCTTTTCGGCTCTTAATCTTCTGAATCCTGCCAACATTTCATTATTCCACCATGGAAAATATTCATTGTTTTACATTCAAGTAATGCTATGCATTTAAGTAATTGGGCTGAGCGACAATTAATAGCATGCTCTTACATTTTCATGGAAAACACGGATTTTTCTTCTTAATTTCCCTATTTTCTTCCTCCAAGTTTCATTGGCGCATGACGGCTGACGTTGTGATCTAAAAAAAAAAAGGTTTCATGTAGAAACTTACCCGAGCTTGAGAAAACTTGGAATTACGCCTAGTCTCGTCTATGAATATAAATTGAGCAACGACTAGGTTCGAGTACGAGAAAAACTTCGTTGTTCCAATAATAATAGTAAGATGAAGAAGAAGAAAACAGAAAGAAGAATGAGAAGTTGGGGAACGAAATCCTCTTTGTGGTGTGGAAACTTTTGCGCTGTACCGGGATCCGTTTTAGAATGTGTGGGAGAAAAGTTTGTACATTATACCTGTGTAAGTATTCATCGCGAGGAGTGGCTCATTTTCTTCCGAGTGGGAAGTTTTCCCCCTCCCCTGGGGGCAAGAATGGAAAGAAATGAAGCTTCTTCAAGTTGTGGATCCTCTGGGGAAAAGTACCATATATCTTTAGCATTTTGCGCGAATACGTGTGGGAGTGTAAAGGCTCTTTTTTTCTCTATTTTTAATCTGGAAAATTGTCTTCAAAATACTGTACCCTTTTCTTGGTTTAAAGATGGTGTGGAAAAATACAATCTTCAATCTTTTAATCACTAATAAGAGAATTCTATTCTATTGCAGGTAAAATATGTTCAACCATCAAATTAGTGACTTGTGTCTCAGAGATTTAAATTGTGTTCCTCGTACTTTCAAAGAGTACAAAAAATAATCCAGTGGGAGATTTTAGTGAGTGTTTTTTTATTACCTGAGCAACAACAACAATACTTTATTTCAAGGCACCTTTTGGTCTTATTGATTTAGTTTAAGTTTGAATGCTTATGGTTGGATGCGAGATACGGGCGACATCTGCATGGCATTTTGCTAATGTCAGTCGTGCGTTCAACTAATGCTATGTGTATTTTGATTTCAGAAATTCGTGATGGACCACGAGCAAGAAGACTGTTTACTGGTCGGCTTCCACAATCAAAAAGCGAATCCTTTCCGTGAGAAGAGCTCTTGCATGGTGTTGTGATGATGATGATGATGCTGGACGACGATGACGAACTCCTCTTCTTCCCCTTTCTTCATTTTCTCAAAAGCCGCTTTTTTCGCAACAACAAAAAAAAAGGTTGAGAAAAATGCAGAAAAATGCATGCTTTTTTCTGCCTACTGTTCAACCTGAAAAAAAAGATTACGATCTTGAAAAAAAATCGCTCGAGGAAGCAATACCTAAGATTTTTTTTTTGGTTTCTTCCTGGGGAGGAGAAAGAGGAAAAGCGCAGTTTCTTTGAGAGCAAAAGGAAACAAATATGTGTGAGTTTTTGTGTCATTTTTTCTGCTTAAGTGCCGTGTGTGAAGCTAGGAACGAAGAATTTTTCACATTTTATTGCAAATCGGTTCGATAGCATACGCCAAATTTTTTTCAACGGATGGTTTAATATGCATTGTGGGTGTTTTTTTTCGGGAATGAGCTTCGTTACATTCGGGGTGTTCTGAACAGTGAAGTAACGTTTTCTTTTTTTTTCGAAATTTGATTGAAGTTTGTGAAGAGGAAACTTTTCGTCGTGTCATTTTTTGCTGATGGTTTACATTTTGAGAAGGGGAAAAAAATCAGTCGGGAAGGTGACATTTAGGAAGTACACGTTTTTAGAATGGAGTCGAGTCAGAAAGTATATCTTGTCGATATTCAAGTTGCCTTAGTTTCGAGTTGCTTTTTTTTTAATTATCTAGGCGTTAATTATTTATTTTTGGAAATTTGTTTCGTGTGTCGGATTTCCTAAAAAATCTGCGTTTTGTGATGAAAGCAGTTTGTGGCGCACTGCCGGAAACGGTAACAATCGTCGGTTCTTCGAAAATTTCTTCGGTTTTTTTTTTTCTATTCATCGAAGCAGAGTTCAAGGTGTTCTACGTTTTCAGCTTCGGAAGAAAATTTTCAAATTCTTTCGGGATATGAAATATAATTTTAGACCTGACGAAGCTCAAATCAATTTGTATATGCAAGAAAACCCACATACAAGTAAAAGCGCATTTCTTTAAGAAAGGAAGAAAAAAAACCTCGTATTGGAAACTTGACCAAAGTCGAGATTTTTGTCGTAAGAACCCGGTAACCACGTGTGCTGTTTCGTGATTTTTACTTTGGTTCACCCGGGGTTTTCGAAAGTCGTGTCATTTTTTTTTTTTGCGTTTGAACTGCCAGCAAGAGCTTTTTCTTAGCTAGTTTTGTTTTCGTGAAGAAATTTGTTTTTCTTTCGTAAGTTTTCGGAAGTAAGAATGGGAAGTTTTTTTTTTAAACAATTTTTGGAGCATTATTTGCTTGAGGAAGGCGATTAAAATTTCACATGCACAAAGGGGGAGGATGTGGACTACGGATTATTCAGAGAAAATCGCGTCTAATTCTGCTGACATTTTAGTTCATTTACAGGGTGGACGAAAATTTTGCCTGCTTTTCAGCCTGGAGTACCTGTCAACCGGCCATTGAAGAAATTCATCAGTTTGCAGCTTATTTGTCTTTTTGCTGGAATGAAAAAAATTGAAGTTTGGTATAACTGCCATATTTGAGCAAGTGTCACATGCACTTTTTTCAGCAAAATCAAGGCGGAAAAGTGGGGTGCACATGGTATGAAGGAATACCTTTTTTAAAAAGATAATGAAATCAAGAGTGGGAAAAAGAATGAGTCTTTGTGTAGAGGAAAATTATATTTGATGCTAATTCATTCAAAATGCTTTTTGTTACAATACAGTTGAACCTCTGTAAGTTTCATTTCTAGGGATCAGGAAAAAAATTTGATTTTTGGAGGTTTTGACCTAGGAAGGTTTTGACATTTGGATGCTTCCAGTCAAGGAATCAAGGAATTTTTGTTATGAGGAGAAGAATGAAAAATTGCAGGAAATGGTAAATGAGGATATTCTGGGCTTAAACATGCTTTGTAATGAGTTTACAGCTTGCTGAACTTGGAGGCATGGGTTAATTTGTTCAATTAGTCTTCCACTTCATTTCAAGATGCATAAAATTGTTTGTTTTATTGACTTTCTCTTTCTTATTTCAAGGAAATAATAACCAAAAGGCCTCAGAAAATTTGACTTGTAGATGTTTGAGAGAAAAAGATTTTGAGTTAAGGAGGTTTGACTTATCAAGATTCAACTGTATTTATTTGTGAGATTTTTTCGTTCAACATTATTAATTGAAAAAAGAAATAAATTTTATCAATTAGTTTTCAATTTTATTAATTGAAAAAAGAAATAAATTGTATCAAGCAAATAAACTGGGGTGTTTGGATACTTTTTTGTTGTTGGGCAAATTGATGTCAAAAAATGAGATGCTCAAGTGAGTATGGTTATTGCATTGCATGCCCTTAAATAACAGGTACGCCAGAAGAAACACTTGACAAATGCATTATTAGATTTGAAGGAGTTTGTATTTTACGGAGGTTGTCAAACTTTTAATGCACAAGATATTTGAAAACTCCGCTATAGAAACCCTCCCATATTTGCATTTTTTAAAATAAATTTCTTGAAAGTTTTTTTATTGTAGATTATATTTCGTTTGATTATTTAATGGATGATTTTTTCTTGCTGATAAAGAAAGAATTGACGGAATAAAAAACGGTGGATCTGGAAAGAGCGTTGATTTCATTATAATTTCGGAAATTCTTGTCCATTGACAGATTCCTGGGATCTACTTCCACAGGTAACGCATGGAATTCTCCGGAGAAGATTTATTCCTTAAAGAACATTTTTAATATTTCGTTTTTACTTTTCCAGCTCAATTTCAACGTCATCTGGACGTGGCTAAATGATTTCATGCTTTCATTTACAGGTGACGAAACCTTCCTGGAATCAAAATCACGACGGAGAAATGTCATTCCATCGTTATTCTGTTCCGGAGATCTTTGAAGGTTCTTCTCTCATTCTGGGAACATTTATTTTTCTTGAGATTTCTTTCCGATTTTCACGTGTTGAAACTTTCATGTTTTAACTTGTCTAGGGAATTCCCCGCAACGAACGACTTTTAATCCCTTGTTTGGTGTCGGGGGTTAGGATTTTATTCAGCGTATCATCCGCAGCACGTGTGAGGACCAAGACCCGGGTATGACGGAAATCCTGCCTCATCTCCGAACTTCGGGTAAAACTGAGTAAGACTTTTTTATTGTGACTTACTTTTCGATGAACTGAGCACTTTTTTGAACACTGAAAACTCTTGATAGTCGTCATTCCTTCAGGAGTGAGAGATTTGTATTGAATTGCTTAATTCCGTGCGAAAATTCGAAAGCCTCTTTTTTTGGTGAATTTCGAACTGCTGTTGCGTCGAAAAAATGTTCCGATTAATTCTTAGTTTTATATAGAATTGTACTACATTGACCCTCTTTTCTGAGAATATTTCGATAAAATCGTTGCTTTGGAAATTACTCATAAAAGCACAATGATGCTCAATTTTTGAGTGATTTTAAAATACAGTAGTGTACGTTTCATTTCGAGCTGCTGTTACGTTCAAAATTGTTTATCGTATTATCCGTATATTTTATAGAATTTTACTCGATTGGCCGTCTTTCCTGAAAATATTTAAATGAATAAATTGCACTTTGAATTATCCATAATCGCCTACAGCTGTTGCTTATTTATCCTTGAGTGATACTGAAATACCTTTTCGATGAATTTGTCATTTTGAAATGCTATTACGTTAATAGTTTATCATTCAGTTCGTTTATTTTATGCACTTCTATTATAGGTATTGACCTTCTTCTCTGGAATTTTTTCGATAAATCCGTTGCACTTGAAATTTTTCATAATCACACACGGAGACTTCATTCGTGAAAATAATTTTTTGTATCGGGAGTCAGTTTTATGATGGATTCGAAAGTTTCGGATTAAATTTGCGTGATTTCAATTTATTTTCATGATTTTTACTAATTCTGCATTCGAAAGAGTCTGAAATTTGAGCTACGACACATTGTCTCAATGAGGCAAATTTTATTTGAAGCATTCGAGATGACTAATGCCATTATATTTTCCTGGTGTAGCTACTTATCTATAGTGCTACTCAACAAAAATAGAAATTCAATTATTTTTCATGCCCATGGAAAAAAAAATATTTCGAAACAAAGTTCGTAGCAAGACTCTTCGTGCGGAATATCGAATATATATATTTAGGTACTGAGAAATCAGTAGTAAAATTTTTTTGAAGAAAACCTTTCAATGATTCAAGTGCATTAAAATTTGAAATTCGGCGCGTATTTTCAGGAAGTTGAAATCGGATCTCAATTGCGGCATTCCACGAAGTACTGCCATTATGGAAATTTCCGAAGACAAGGACGAGATTTTCGGTCACAAGGCCCCTGGAACGTCTCAAAATCTGTCGGAGAAACGCAAGTCCGTGTCAGTGAATTTTCTTTGATTGTTTTTTTATTTTGCGATTTCGCGATTCAATAATTTTTTTTGCGTATTTAATTGATGTGGAAAACAGATGTCGGGAGCACAATTATCCGGGTGAAGGCGGAAGCGGAAACATTTCCCCCTTGGCCAAGTTCAGTAGTCTCTCTGAGAAACGTAGGGTGAAACGAGTGAGAAGTGAAGGATCCGACTTCAGCTCATCATCTTCTTGCGACTCTTCGCCAGTGGCTGCTGCTCTGAAAATCGAGTTTGTTCCCTTCATTTTTTAAAATCTTTTTACAATATGAAATTTGTCTTTTTTTAATGCAAATAAAGGAGTGTATCCAAGACAATTTGATGCAAATATTCTTATGCCTGGACAATTTCAGATAACTATTTTCATTTTTTTTTTCATTTTTAACGTGTTGAGGCAAATATTCTTATGCCTGGACAATTTGAGACAAATATTTTCATTTTTTTCATTAACATTTTGAGGCAAAAGATTTTTAGACAGTCACATTTTGAGACATGGTGGACTATTTCTGACAAAAATGTTGGACAAAAGCGTTTTGAAACAAAAACATTTTGAGGCATGTACACTTTGAATCAAAATCATTTTGAGGCGTGAAAAAAATGAGACAGATGAACACTGGAGTAGTTCGGAATGTTTCATTGAAAATGCGTATTGAAATTAAATGTTTGATGGTCCCAACAGAAACAACATGGATGTAATGCTTTATAAATCTTGCAGTAAGTAATTTCAAGGTTCTTCACAATAAATAATCATCGGAGAAGTTCATCCAATGTCACTAGCATTTATTAAAATTCATAAATTTTGCACCTTATGAATTCCCTCCCAATCTTTAAATATAGAGAAATGTTACTGCTCAGCACAAAACAGTGTCGAAAATATAACTAAAAATAAAATCAGATTTTTTTCCAATATGAAGTACTGTACAGTATAAACATGTTTTAGGAACATTTTTATTTATGAATCTTTCAGTCAAAATTGTGCTTTAAAATTTTCTTAATTTACTCAACAAATAAGTTTTGTATCATGGCCGGAAAAATATGGGTTTGAAGAAATTTATTTCTGATGTCAGAAAATATCCGCTTTTTTGCCATGGAATCTTGTTTAAACAAATTACTGATTGCAAAAGTTTGTGTATGAGGTCCCTTCTCAAAACCCAGAGCGTCATTTGAATAGAAAACAAAAAATATTTTGGGATGCAACTTTTTCTTGAAATCAGAAAGTCGGATAATTTTCGGATTAAATACTGTATCTCCACCGAATCAATGACATTTTTCTTGATTTGAGCAACGCCAGACTTTCAAAATTAAATATTTTTTTAAATTCGGAAAGTCATGAAGCAAGTACATGTCTAGTCGAAAGGCGCATTGAAAAATCGGATTTCTGTGCATTACGCCAAATATAGAAATTATGAAGGGGACAAGTTCCAGATTGAAGCCTCGTCTTGGATGAAAATCAATGCCCGGATCCGGAAGGAGGAGCACGCCAAGTTCCGGGAATTATGCCGAAAAGCCAAGGAAACCCTTTTTCCGGAACGTGCCTCGCAATTGGAGAGCAAAGCTGTCGAAAACAAGTCAGTTATTCGGAAACTGTCGACTGTCCAAGAGCCCGGCATTCTCAGCAGTCTCTTGTCGAAAGGTTCGTTGTGCAGAATCTGTAGATTAAAGTCCCAATTCTTTGTGTGACAATAATATTGAGCGCATTCAAAAATACATTATAATGCTGGGGGTTATCTTTTATGTCCTTTGCTATTATCATAATTTTGATCCCACATTTTCTTTTAATCTTTGAAAAATGTATAATTCTGGTTTTACTTTCAGGTAGCGAAGTTACTTACTTGTGTCGCTGGAAACTGGAGAAGGAAACGGTCTGCAAGTACGTTGACCGCGACGACCTGCTGAAATGTTGTCCGAAAGCCATTGAGAAATTCAGTGTTGGAATGCATGAGTCTGAGGGGGTCATTCCGACGAGTCGGAATGTGAAGGTCGAACCTGCAGGAACTGCTGAGTTCAACTCTCCTTATGGTATATTATTAATTTGAGACTTTTCCTTATTGCGAAGATGATTTTGTCGAAAAGAGAAAGACAAATGAACCGGAACCCCTTTTTAAATTTCCGAAACCACTGCTTAAAAATGCATAATTTATTTTAGTGAACCTTATTCACACAAGGACCAAAAAAAATAACTTGTTCTGAACAATAATTCATTTTAACGAGATTTCACTGTTCATGAACAGTATATAATATTTGGACCACGATCCTGTTTTTGATATTTTAAATACCTTTTTGAATTCCCCTGAAAACGATATACCTTACAGCATTATATACAGTACCTTCCTAACTTTCTTCTCCACTGAAATCTCTGTAACTTAACTGTTCTGGAGACCCTCTGGCTATTGGAGCTGTATTTTGAGGACCCCGGAAAGACAAAAGCGATGAGAATGTACTGTGATGCTTTTCAGAATAGAAATATTGACTATAATTGGGCAAATGCTCCTTAATGTACAAGTTGATCTTCCTGCTGGCTCATTTACAAATCAATTTCAGGCTTAGAAGATCACAAGTACTTCATCTGCTTTCTGTAATTTTTCATCATTTTTTAAAAACTCAAAATTCCCCAATTACAGTAAATGTTTTTGCTCATCCCTTGGAGTGTATTCTTCGGGTAGTTTGACTACTTGAAAGATGCTTGTGTGTTATTTAAATGTGCTGCCCTGACAGACATCAATATTTTTTTCGAATTTTTTTTTTCAATATATAGAAAATATTTTTTTGCATTTTAGAAGACAATGAGGAAAACGTGGAAGTGCCGATTCGGAAGCGGAGAGATGGACCAGGTTCCCAAGGAGACCCGAAACGTCGCCGGGCTGAGGAACGAGCTCTCAGTCCTCCTACACCGCTCATGTCACAGGTTAAACATTTAAAATGGGACTTGAATGCCCACAATTTTTTTATTTTCTTATGAAATCGGGATCAAGAGAAAGCTGAGGGACAGTGTGTGAAAGAAGGGGAAACAATTTTAGTATTCAAACCTTTGGTTTAATGATCTTAATCTGTCCTAGGAGGAGGTTTTTTCTGCAAAAAAAAAGCAGATGTCAACGAAACTTGATTTTCCCGTGTACTCAAATTGGCGAAAAACGCAATACTTACCACATGCATCCAAAAAAACAAATAAAAATCAATTGATGCTGTGTGGCATCCTGTTCTTATAAAAATTTGAGAAATATTTTGTGTTATTGTTGTAGGCTTTATTTTGAGATTTTTTAAAATTTAGTATAACCTCTTCAAACTAAACTTCAATGGATCAACAACAAAATTTGAGTTTGAGAGGTTTCAAGTTGGGTTTTACTCTCCTTAATGTCCTTAAACATTTACCACTATAAAACCCGGAATGTAACGAATACTTTACTGAACTCTAACACGACTTCAACTTCCGTTCCCAGGTAAACGGGTTAATCAGAAAGTGAAGGACTAAAAAAGCATCAAGTTACATTTGTACTGCTTTTCTCTATCCTGTGTCAATAAAATAACAGCCAAAAGGCATGCAGAAAATTTGAGTCACGGAGGGGTGAGAGTAAAACCCTTGGAGTTGGAGATGTTTACTGTATTGTTTCTAATATTATTAAAAGCCTTGGAGTTGGAGATGTTCTTAATGCATTGTTGCTAATGGAATTTAGGCAAACTCTTGAACAAGAATTAGACATACAGTAAAATCTTGTTTCAACAATTGCTGTAAGTTAGACCCAAAAAATGAAGCTGGCAAAACTTGTTTTTAAAGGGGTTTGAAACCCTCTGGAAATATAAAAATTGTAATCAATTTTGGAACATCCACCCTTACCAATCTTTGCAGGAATTGTTTTGAAAACATAAGAGTCAAGAAAAAGTGCTAGAGCAAATGTTTTTTTTTTTTAAATCAACTGTTATATATCTGAAAAACATCTGAAGAGGCAAAAAAGGAAGATATTGAACATATGCAGGTATAATTTGAAGAAAATCTTATCTGTCAATATTTTTCAAAATCTTGTTATAACAAGTTATTCATTTTAACAAACTTTTTCTGAAGTCCCCACAAGTTTGTTTGTAACAAGTTTTTGCTGTAGTGAGGTATTCAATGTGGGGTAGTTATTGAGGTTAAACTGTATATAAACATGATGAATGACATTTTTTTTTTTACTTTTACAAATGATGCAGGCCCTGACCCCACCGCCGCCCTGGCAATTCAACGCATTCCCGAAGATGAACCCCCAGCACCTGATGGCCCTCATGCAGTACCGAGCTTTCCTGGCCCGAACCCAACAGGGTCTCCGGGCGAGCATGATGTAAAATGAGAGGAATTACAGGAATTTGTAAATGGTGATATTTTGGGCCTTACATTGCTTATGAAATGACTTGAGATTGTGCTGAAGTTGAAGGCAAGGGTCCATTTGCCCAATTAGTCTTTCACTTCCTTTCAAAAAGCATCAAGTTACATTTATATTGCTTTTCTCTATCCTGTGTCAAGGAAATAACAGCCAAAATGTATGCAGAAAATTTGAGTCACGGAGTTGTGAGAGGAAAACCCTTGGAGTTGGAGATGTTTAATGTATTGTTTCTAATATTATTAAAATTCTTGGAGTTGGAGATGTTCTTAATGCATTGTTTCTAATGGAATTTAGACAAAAACTTGAACAAAAATTAGACATACAGTAAAATCTTGTTTCAACAAATGCTGTAAGTTAGACCCAAAAAATGAAGCTGGCAAAACTTGTGTTTTAAGGGGTTTGAAACCCTCTGGAAATATAAAAATTGTAATGAATTTTGGAACATTCACTCTTACCAATCTTTGCAGGAATTGTTTTGAAAACCTAAGAGTCAAGAAAAAGTGCTAGTGTTTATACTGTACCTGTTTATTCAGAGCAAATGTTTTTTTTTAATCAACTGTTATATCTCTTTTTGAAGATCAGTTTTTTAAACTCTGAAAGACATCTGAAGAGGCAAAATAGGAAGATATTGAACATATGCAGGTATAATTTGAAGAAAATCAGTCAATATTTGTCAAAATCTTGTTATAACAAGTTATTCATTTTAACAAACTTTTTCTGAAGTCCCCACAAGTTTGTTGTAACAAGTTTTTACTGTATAGTGAGGTATTCAATGTAGGGTAGTTATTGAGGTTAAACTGTATATAAACATGATGAATGACATTCCTTTTTTTTTACTTTTACAAATGATGCAGGCCCTGACCCCACCGCCGCCCTGGCAATTCAACGCATTCCCGAAGATGAACCCCCAGCACCTGATGGCCCTCATGCAGTACCGAGCTTTCCTGGCCCGAACCCAACAGGGTCTCCGGGCGAGCATGATGTATCAACGGTAATAACCCGTCCTAAGGGCCTTTGAAACCCTATCATATTTTTCTTTAGATAGTTAAAGGGGATCCTCGAGTTTATTTGTACAATTTGATTGCTGGGGTTCCATTAAATATATCCGTATTTAAAAAATTAATTCTTCCTTTCTGCAGACTTCATTCTGTAGAATCATTTTTTTCAATTACTTTTCAAAATTTTTGTAACAATTGATCAAGTTGCTTCTAAAGTCATAGTTAGATTATATAATAACCTTAAATGTGGTGCGCATCTATTTCATTTGTATTTCAAATCTATTTATACGGTAAGGTAGGATAAAGCATTACATGTGACTTGCATTTTTATCCTACCTGAACTCAAAACTTGTTGACTCTAACTACCCTTAGTCACATTTTTCATTGCCCTCATCAGAGTCTCTTGGCGGGCTTCGGAATCAATGTTCGCCTCGGGGGAAAAAGGAGAGGAGGAGAAGAAGAAGAAGTGAGCAAAATTTGAGTTGCAAAATTTGATCCAGACAAACAAACGGACAAGAAAGCAAGTTAATAAAAACGTGTTAATAAAATACGGAGATTGCAATCACTTATTTGGGGGAAAGAAACTGACAGAAAGAAAAGTTACGCGGATTGTCTCATGTCAAAATTTAGAATAATAAAATTTTAAAGTTAATTACTGTTTATAAATGTCGAGGCTCTTCATAGCTGTAAAGGTTCAGGAGATATGAATGTTGGGCTGGCCATTTCTATTTCCAAGCATAGCCTGCATACGAATTCGTTTCCAGACCTTGGAAATTGTTTCGATGTTGAGAAAATGTTTCAATCTTCTGAAATATCCGGGAGTCGAATTTTTTGCATTTTGGGAATCCATTGTATATTTTTTGCAATTGTAAACATTTTTTGAATTTGAGCATTGATGTGTACATTTTTATCTCGTTGCAACAAATCTCCGATACAACGAACTATTATTTTACAAACGAAAGCGGGTAAAGGTCTCTGCCCAAGAGCCTTGATTGTTATTTAAATCGTTATGCATTGAATTTATTGTTATAACGAAGCACTTTTCTGGACCTTGTTTTTAATGAGATTTTACTGTATGTATAGCGTTACCAACCTCGAAATAATCCACGCACCTGCCGTACTTTTATTTTTCCACAGCATGATGATGCCGAACCATTTGATGAACTCGTACGCGGCTCCGGCAGCACAAACCTTCATGTCTCACATGAGCAAGGCCATGGGACATCCGGGACAGGCGAGTCCGTCTTACGCGTACCACGACCGGAACTTGGCCAGGGACGGACGTCGTCAGGAGGAGCCGTCGGAGCACCTGCAGGACCAGAGACGTCATCGGCCGTCGCCGCGCCAGCAGCAGATGCCCGATCGCATTCGATCCCCGAATCGGAAACCCCGTGGATCGCATGGGAAAAAGAGCGAAAAAATAGGTGTCAATTTTTTTCTTTTGTGTTTTCGAGGATTGATTGATATTGAGGTTCTCAGTATTTGACATTCTCGAACTGAACGTGTGTTGAAAGCCCCTTCACGCTAAAAAATACGTACAAGAACAATTTAGCATAATTTAACTTTTGGTAGGAAAAATTATGTGCATAACTGATCTATTTTTTCGAGTATCACTGAAAACCTATGTTAAAAGAAGATGAATTTGCTTCCATTTTCAGGTGTGTGTGTGTACCAAAGTACCATGCTCACCTTTTTTCTCAAATTTTAAGAGGAAGAAAGGGGGGTGTGCGTCATAGCAAAGATGTGTAGTATTTTCAAAAAGTTCCAAGAAGTTCAGGTGTGCATTGTTCTAATGGATACATTTTGGCATTAAAAAACTTAGTTTCATGAAAATAATCTATAATTAGTTCTTTTCAGGTTCAATTCTTGTGTGAAATCAAATTTGGGAGTTCTTGTTTCTGTGACAGTTTTAGAGTCACTAAAAATGGTGCGCATGTCTCACTTTGGCATACAAGTTCTTCAAAAGTTTAGGCTGAAAAACTCTGGTGTGTCTCTTTCTCAAGGGCATGTGATACATGTACATACATGGGCATGTAATGAATCACGTTTCTTGTGCTAGAACACACTGGATTTTAATAGAATCCTTACTGGTGCACTGTTCAGAACTCCAGTATTCAAGGGCTTTTCCAGCCTTTTAGTCGTCGGGGGTCAAATTAATATCAATTAGTGTAATACCCCTCAGCATGAGTCTGTGTTTCAGTTTCCCAAGGCTCTCGGAAACTGGGTAGAGATGACCATTATGAAGCCCGTTCTGACAAGAACTACAGGAACGATGGATCACGTATTTCACCAGAGTTACCCAGCCAGTATCGCAGGTGCAGCAGTGCCAGACCAAGTGAAGACCAACGTAGGAACACTCGCGAACGCTCACAGTGAAAGCAACGAAAGAAAAGCATGCACAAATGTTTTCCTTGTGAAATTTTGGCGACAAATTTTTTAGTCGCTTTTATTTCTCACGACTTCGTGCCTTCAGATACCGCATTCGGAAAAGTTCTCCTTTTACAGAGTCGGGTGCTGCGACGAATAGCTTTTTTCCGAGAAGGAAAGAAAAAAAAAACGAAATTTTGAAAATGAAAGGTTTTCGTAAATTGACCCGCTAAACCGCGCGGAATATTCGTTACTTTTCGAATTCCCTGAGCCAAAAATCCGGGTCCCTCTTTTTCAAATTTTAAATAC